GTGATGCTGACCAGGGTGTGTGTGCGTGTGTGTGTGTGTGTGTGTGTGTGTGTGTGTGTGTGTGTGTGTGTGTGTGTGTGTGTCTCACTTTCTTGGTACTGCCAGATGCTGGAATGGGGCCTGAATGCATGTTTTCCTCTAGTGATTCTTTCTAGCCTCTAGGTGCCTGCCAGTACCGGTCTACCCAAGCCCTGGTTCATCTTACAGAATATGAAAGTCCCAAATGGTGGTTCCCACAACCATTATCATAACCGACTAGTCACTAGTGGCCAGGCTGCACTGCAAAACCATCTGATTGTAGGAAGTAGGAATCACTCCTCCAACTGATTACTCCCCAAGTACGCCAGTTCTGCTCCACCACTGTCATGCATTCTAGGAGGGCCACTTCAATCAGCATCTCCCTATCTCTTCACAACCTTATGGAGCTCATCAGTCTCCATAGCTCAGCTTCCTTGGCCTTATCTTCCACCTCTTAAAGTTCTTGGTCAAGATGGCAAACCTAGCCTAATGGTGGCTCAGAATATCTGACGATGCCAACGTGAACAGCAGGGAAGTCATCTTTTAAGACTGCTCTTTCCTCCATAGCTCCCCTTAATTAGCATGGTTCTAGGCTGCCCAAATGGGGGGCTGGTACTGCCTCCTCTATTGAGAGAAGAAAGAACCAGAGTTCAGTGCTATAGGGAAATCCTGATGAGGAAATACCTACTACTGCAGTTCAGCAACAATTCTCCAGTTTATCGTTCTAGAAAAGAGTTTAGAGAATTAACAGAGGCAATTCTCAAGGTGAAGTGACTTGCCTAGGCTTCCAATGGCAGAATGTGTCCAGGGTCAGATTTATGTTCAGGGCTAGAATCTAAGGTCAACTCTATCTACTACATCTTGCTGCCTCTCATCTTCTTTTAGTACCCAAAAAGTTATTTTTAAAAATCATAAATACAAGGATATTCTACTTGGTAGTTATGGTCTCACTGAATTCTGCTCTGACCAAGGCTAAGGAAAAAGGATGAACCTGATGAGCTGGGAAATGAGAAAGGTGTACCACCTTTGAATTTTCTCTCCTAATTATGGCACAAATATTTCCTATCGTTGGAGAATCATCTTGTTCAGAAAGTTGGAAATAAGCTTTTGAGTGAACCTTCAAGACAGTTTCTTTCCTTGGTACAAAGAGTTAGGCATAAGTCTGAAAGCACAATCTGCTTCTGAAAACGCTTTCTGAGAATTCTGAAAATTCTATAATTCATTTCAGTGGAGGTCTTAAGCCTGATGCTTGTGGGGGAGCACAGGCTCCTGCTGCCAAGCCCAGAGAACAGAGAGGAAGTTGGCTTCAGCTGCCAGATCACCTTGAGGAGCAACTCCACATGTGTCTTGACCTGGCTTTGCCTTTGAGCTTCCTTGCATGGCCTGCACTCTCACACTGTGTAGCTCACTGGATCTCTCCAGGCCTCAGTTATCCCTTTGTGGTTTCCTTAGCCCAAGACTTGGCAGTCATCACTTTTGAAGTGTCAGAGACACACGACTGTGGGCTTCATGAGGGCAAGAACAGTGTGTCTGATATCTCCCCCAGAGCTCAACATGTAACAGGTGGTTTCAGAATGTCTGTGGAAGAGAGAGCCTTCTTTCACATCTTTATTTCATTATGGTAGTGCACTTCAGCTCAGAATGGCACAAACTTGTGGCACGATGATGACCTTTGATAACCACTCCCTGAAACTAGAGCAAGATCAGCAAAACATGAAGATGCAAGAAGTGAGGAGAGCCTGTCCACACCACAGTGCTAGTGATAGGCCAGGGCACAGGTTGGTGCAGCGGGAGGCACATATACATGGTATTATAAATGCCCTTACTTTTTAGAGTCAGAAACATTTGCTCTCTGTGGCACATGGGTATTTATCTGGGGACGAATTAAGTTGCATATGTAACACTGAAAGACCAGAGCCTCAAGAAGAGACAGGCAGTCTCTCAGCATGTAATTTTCAAACAGCCCCTAAGGGTGTCCCCATGCCCCAGCTCATGTTTCTTAGGCAGCCTGTGAGATTTTGTTTGCCAGGGACATATTATACCTGAGGATCTTACAAAGTAGACTTTTGCAAATATGAATTTTACAGGTAAAATTTTTTAAAAGGTTTCTTATATCCTAGTATATAGAGTATTGTTTTCAAAGGTTCAACATCAGAAATAATAGCACTTCTGTCACTGAATGTGGAGGGAAGTCACATTTCGACCCAAAGCATAAAAGGGTCCATAAATCCATGGTTGTTTTCAAAATGCACTCTGACCCCTTCTTTAGATGAAAGGGTAAAATCTTCATGTTTCTGAAAAATATATTTCTTACCCTCAATATCATTTAGTAATAAGCAAGGGGTGAGCATTTTATACATTATAATATAGCTATTATTCTGCTAAACAGTTTGCATAATACATGTTAAGAGGCAACTCTGCCTAATTAATTCCTGGGCAGGTGGTTTGTATCATTCAGCATAATTTCATAATCCAAATGTGGGTTTTAAAATTTAGAATGTTGCAAATATTTTGAATGTCACTCAAATCCACAGATCTAGTCTGAAATGATATATAACACATAGTATTTTTAATATATTTTAAGAATGCTAAATTAAAAAATGAGGAGAGACAGCTGTGTGCAGCATAAACAAATTATGTACTTTGAGATCCAGGCTGTCACATCTACTTTATAATTATATGCTTCAAAGGCATATTAAAAGATATAGAGAAAAATACATACATTTGAAACCATGAAATAAAACCCTTTAGTTGTGCTGCTAAAAATTATAATTTGGGGGAACATATCAAAATAAATATTGTCCTTCAGGATACCCAACACTCAAAAAACTAGAAACTTTTAAAAAAAGAAAATCTCATGTAAGAATGTGCATGAAATATGTATATGAAGGATGATTAAATTATTTAACTCTTGTTACCTCATTATATATATACATACATATATGCATATATTTGTGGTGAAATGCTAACAAAAGTTTTTATTAGAATATTTTAAAAAACTCATGTTTATCACATAATAACAGATTTGATATTAAATAGAAGAAGACTTGATATGCCGTGAAAATGAGAGTGATTAATAATGGTAATACTTCTGGGGAGGGTTGTCAATTTTTATACTTGCATCATAAGTTAAGTTCAAATAGTGCTACAGTAAACTAGTACAACCAGATATTACTTAGACCTCATGAAACAGTGTTCCTTCAAAGGCTATATCATGTTAAGGTGCATACAACACTCACACTTTAATTATACTTTATGGATCCTCCAGTCAACGTATTAATCATATTAGTTTTCTTAAGGCCATATTGCTTGCTTAGAGTAAAGTAGGAGTTAAAAGGGTACAAGCTGGTCCTCATATAGCTTCTTATAGCTTATAGTTCATATAGCTTACTGCCTCTGTTAGTATTGAGTATATAAAAGAAAACTGGAAAAAGACACCGATTTCTATGCTGCAGGATAAAAGGATGAATATTCCCTATTTTGAAATATGGCATAAGTTAAGTGGATTGTGCAGATTCCCTGTAGCAAATCAAATTTGTGAAGCGTTTCATATTTTTAATGTACTTATCCAACCTTAACCTCTCTGCTAATCTCCAGTCTAGCATCTCCATCTGCCTTTTAGACATCTCGAACTGGATGTCTCAGACTCTAAATTCAACACGTCCAAACCCGAAATCAGTATTTCCCCCCTAAATCTTCCCCTCTTCCTAACTTCCATGGTTACCTTTCCATGGTACCAAGGTCCTTCTAGTCATCCAGGCTGGCAGCCCTGGTGTCATCGTAGACTCTTAACCCTCTCATCCCCCAAATCCAATCTGTTGCCAAGGCCTGTTCAGTTGACCTTCATGGCACCCCTCACATATGCTCCATTCTCTCCTCTGACACTGTGACCTTGCACAAGCCTCACACCTCATGTGTACACTATTGCGATAGCCTGCTGGTGGCTCTGTCTGCCAAAAATCTTTCACTCCAATCCATTCTCCATTCAGCTGTCAAAGTGATTTTCCTAAAATGCAGGTTAGACCATATCATTCCCCTACTCAAAAACTCTAGTGGTCCATATGACCTCAAGGATCAAAAATAAAAGCCTCTTTTTGGGGTTCAAAGTCCTCTACAACCTGCTCCCCCTCCAGTCTTGTTCCATCTCACCCTTCCTCCTCCTCCCTCCACATACTCTATGAACAGTGGCCTCCTTGATCACGTTCCCCAAACAAGATGCTCCATCTCCCCACTCTGTTGGGCTGTCCTTGATGCCTGGAACACTCTCCCTCCATGTTGCCACCTCCTATCTACCCGTTCTTTCTTCAAGCCCCACTTAAAATTCCACCTTCTACAGAAGCCTTTCCCGATGCCTTCTAGTGCCTTCCTTCTGTTGATTCTTCTCAATTTATCTTGTCTACGCCTTGTTTGTATACAGGTGTTTGAACACTGTCTCCTCCACTAAACTGCGGGCCCCTTGAAAGGAGAGACTGTCCTTTGCCTTTGTTTATAGCCCCACATTCAGGACAGTGCCTGACACAAAGAAGAAATTTAATAAATGTTTACTTACTGACTGGGTCAGAACAGGTAGCAGAGTGTTGGAGGTCTCATAGAAACAGGAGGAGATTCACCCCTGCCAGCTATTCTTTTCCTCATCTTCCCCCAAAGGAGAGAAGTTATTTTATTTTAATGAAACTACAATGCAAAGCAAAAGTAGAATATCTTTTAAAATACAACATTCATTTTTAAAAACAAAAGGAGAGAGTATGACCTGTTGTACCCCAACAAGAAATACCTGAACAGAATACATGATTTTTAGTGACTACCAGACTGCCCTTCCAGGCTCTGCATCATGGTTGTTTAGGGGGCTGGTAAGCCTAAACTTGGGAATAAGGGTCTTTGCAAAGCTTTGATTTCAGGATCAGCATTTAAAATACAACATTGGCACAATTCATTTTTTCCCTTTATTTTTTGGTTTAATAAACACAATTATCAATTCTTACCAGCAGCTTCAAGGACCAGTTGTAGTCTAGCTTTGGCTTGTTCAGCAGGTGGCTATGAAACAAAGCAGAAAAACATTTATTTATTAGTAATAATAGAGACTGAGCTTTCTCTTTGAGTATCATAAACCTCTAGCAATTTTACTTTTAATCAGTCCTTTAATCACTTGCCGATCTCTGAAAGTACAACAGAATCTCTATCAACTTTCTCTCACGTCAACAAAAAGTACTTTACTTTTAATTTTCACCGATACATGCTTTCTTTTGTACTGCAAAATCTCTTGTTCTTATCACGTTATCTACTCAGGGCTGAGTATTTAGGAAAGACCAACATGTTTTTAAAATGATTATATACTTAATGAGACAAGCTGAAGATCTAAGCAATATACCTGTAGTTCCAATTATAGCATGAAGTTTTGCAAACTGTTGAAACAAATAAAGATAGTGTTTGACAATTCAAATAGCCAAGTAAAAGTAGCAAGACACATGTAAAGTGCTATGATTCTGCATTCTCTTCAATGTGTTTGGGTGAGCTGGGTGAAGAGAAGAAATTACAAGTTGTATCCTTTGTATTCACTGACAAATAGCACGGAGTGGCCTCAGTTAACAACTGTCTCAGTTCTGTCTGTTTTCTCACCTGAAAAGGATGCAGCCCTGCTCAGCCCAGTTTTGATAATATTCTATAAAAAACAGAACATGGAATTGATATGGCAGAATATACTAATAAGTTCAGAATTAAAATTTGAATTTAAGGTGATGAAGAGTTCTTCAAAAAAGCTTGCTGTTCAATTTTTGAAACAATTTATCCTTGAAGTCCAAAAACATTTTTTAAAAATAATTAATTTATAAACATGTCAGCAAAAAAATTAAACATGGAAATTTTTAGAGATGAAAGTAATTACTCTATTGCTGCCATCTGTGACAAACAATCCTTTCAAACAGGTAAGCTAATCTTCTTTGCCAATTGGTTTGTTAAAGAAGATTTCAACAATGGGGAGACCATCACAAACCATGTGCGATTTAAGCCATAAAGTGATGCAGATATGTGAGTCAGAAAACCTATTTTACTCTTATCCTGTGGAGAACTGTCTCTGATATGATGTGATATATTTTTAAAGTACATGCTTTTATTATGGTTTTCATTTCACAGACAAAGAATTCTGAAGCACTTCATCAGCGAAAGTACAGCAAGGAAAACAATTTTACATGTGTCCACAAGAAAAGCTCCCAATAGGTGGCAACATTTTTAAGATGCATGAATGCTCAAATGGAGCCAACATGATCAACTGTCACATGTATACGAACTGGAAGTAGGTTCAGTCTTAAAACATTTCTGACTCAAAAGAGATTGGAACTAAAGTATTTACACAACTTTTTAAATAAAATAACACTTATTTCTGAGTGTTGGCTATGTATACATTGCTTTTGAATTTCATTTCTGAATTGTAGATACCAAAAGCAACTTTTTTTTTTTGCTTTTTTTTGGTGAGGCAATCAGGGTTAAGTGACTTGCCCAGGGTCACACAGCTAGTTAAGTGTTAAGTGTCTGACGCTGGATTTGAACTCAGGTCCTCCTGGTTCCAAGGCCAGAGCTCTACTCACTGTACCACCTAGCTGCCCCCAAAAGCAACTTTAAGAGAACCCTAAAGGAATTAATCTATATCAGGGACAGAAAAAAAGTTTACTAAAGCTCCACCAATTAATGATTCATTTTATCTCTCTGTCTCTCTCTCCACACACACACACCACACACACACACACACACACACACACACACACACAGGCATCATTATGCAATTGGAGAAAGGAACAGAGCCACAGGACCTTAGTTCTGTCCCTTGAAGAGATAACTGATCCTAATGCTTTGTCTATTCTAACTTCATGAAAAACATATGAGCGAGTGTTATCTATAGCCTCAAATCGCACCTTGCAAAAATGAATGAGGAAATGAAATCAAATACACATAAGCAAAACACAGAAGAGTTTCAACAACAACACTGAAGATCAAAGTTTATCCTTCAACTAAATGTGATTGCTAGAAGATCATAAGAGCATAGATTTTGAGTTGAAAGGGAACTTATAGGTAACCTAATTGAAATCCTTCATTTTAAGGTAAGGGAACTGAATTTCAGGAAATTATGCAACTTGTCAAGAGTCACATCAGCATTAGGAAAAAAAGGGGAAAAAGTGAATTTATCACAGCATAACTTTGTAAAAAAAATTAAAATAGATGTGAATTCCATTCCAATGTAATATTCATCCGCAGTGTAAAGAATGAAATTTTCTTTACCAGTGAAGATATTCAATATCTTTAGCATTACAATCAGTATTATACAATTAAGTTGAGGCCAATTATTATTCAAAAGAAATAATACAGAATATGAAGATAATCTCTTTGATAGTATTAGGACATTAACAAAAGAACATAACTTTTTTTAAATAAATTTAAGCCAAATATGCTAACGGGGTAAAAAGTGAATGCTATATGTATTGTGACATATTAGCCAATTACTACACTGGTACATATCAGTTTCATTTTTCTGAAACCATCCTGTTAGTCGTTTCTTATAGCAAAATAGAATTTCATCATATTGTACACAGAATAAAAATATACCTACCTATATTATTTTTGATAATTTTTAATTTGTCTATATTTTAAAGCACAGAGACTCTTCACATTCTTTTTTTGATTCCAAATTCTCTCCCCACCTCATTCAATGAGAAGGAAGAAAAACAAAACCTATTACAAATTCTTATAGTCATGCAAGACAAATTCTGCGTTAGCCATGTCTCCAGCGTCCCCTCCCCCAAAAAAAAGGCAAGAAAAAGAAAGGCAAAGAACGTTCTGATCTGCTCTCTGAGTCCATTGGCTCTTTACCTGGACGTGCAGAGCAGGTTCTATCCTGAGTACTTTAGATCTGTGCTTGGTCATTCTGCTGATCAGCTACTAAGTCTTCCAAAGTTGATTATCTCCACAATATAGCTGCTGCTGTGTAGACTGTTCTCCTAGTTCTGTGCATTTCATTCCACATCAGTTCATATAAATCTTCCCAGGTTTCTCTGAAACCACCACCTTCATTATTTCTTACAGCACAACACTATATTCCATTACATTCATTTACCACAACTTTGTTCATCCATTCCTCAATTTTATGGGCATCCTTCCTTACCTTTAGTTTTAATAATATAATACGATAAGTTGCATGGAGGGAAAAAAGTTCTAGAATACTCTCAATAACATTCACAAAACCTTACTAATAATCATCTAACAATTCTTTATTAAGGTTTTAGAATGACTTCCCTCACCTTAAAATGAAGGATTTCAAGTAGATGACTTATAAGTTCCCTTCCAAATGAAAATCTATGATCCTACGGTGTTCTAGCAATAATATTTGGTTTAAGGACAAATTTTAATTTTCTATATTGAAACTCTCCTATGTTTTGCTTATGTGTATGGCTCCATTTCCTCATTCATTTTTGAAAGCTAAGTTTGTAGTATGAAGAGTAGTATGAACAAATCTTTATTCAGGGCTTACTATGTGCCAAATAAAAAGAAAAAGCAAATCAAGTCCCTGATCTCAAGGAGCTTATAGTCTACTAAGAAAGAAAATATATGCATAAATCAGTAAACAGAGGGAAAGAACAGACAGGAGCAGACTATCTGCTTTGTAATCACCTCAGACAAAAGGAGCAGAAGGAAAACAAATACAGCAAATAGGCAACGCACCAGTAATACATTATCCCAAGTCAAAGAAAGCTAAAAAACAATAGGAAGAGAAAGGTGCAAAAGTCACATTGTAACAGAGGAAGGGAGAGCGAAGTAGTAAATCAAGAAAAGGCTGTGGACTGCACAAAACAAGAAGCAGCATAGATATGGCAGAGACTGAGGGCCAGCTAGAAGATGAGGTTAATCATAATTAGTATATGACTGGCAATCTTTCATTTCGTGAATCCCACATTCACATGTTTCGCATCATCTGGGAAAGGTATTCTCATAATTTAATTCAGTCTCTCACAGGATCTTCTTTTCACCCCTTCCATTCTCCTTTTGCACCAGGGTCAGCAAGTCATTGCACTTAATATCAGATTAGCTTTATTGCAGAAACAGAATTTGTGTATGAGAAGAATGCTCCAGCCCACACAGGAGAGGACTACAAGAGCAGTGGCCATCCTGCTTCTACCTGATTGGCTCCGTGGAGGGTCAGGTGCCACCTCCTGCAGCAGCTCACTAGATCTTCTCAAGACTGTTAAGAAGAGGTCCTGGATATCCAGTCTAAATTTGCCTCTTTACAAATCTGACCCACTGCTCCTGGTTGTGCCCTTGTAGCAAACAGAACAAGTCTCACATCTCCTCAACAGGGCAGTCCTTCAAAGACTTGAAAAAAGTCAGCATGTCTTTTCTGGATCTGTTCTTCTTCAAGCTCAATATACCATGTTTCTTCAAATGATCCTTAGAGGGCATAGACTAAAGGCTCTTCTCCTTCCCATGGACACACTCAAATCTATTAATGTATTTAAATATATATATATGTATATATATACATATATATACATATATATATATATACCTATGTGCACACACATATGTATATCTAAATACATATTATTTTTTAAATTAGCAAAAAATTGACTTTTCTCCATCCACCTCTAGCCCCTCAATCAAGAATGAGCAAAAAACAAAATTACAGTTACAAACACGTGTAGTCAAGAAAAACAAATTTCTGCATTGACCGTGATCCATCCCTAATACATGTTTTGCTATGCCAATCAAGTCCTTCCCCTCTGTCAGAGAGCAGGTTTCATGATTAGTTCTCTGGAATGTGGTTGGTCATTATGCTGATCAGAGCACCTAGTCCTTTCCAAGCTGTCTACCATATTGTCATCATTATATAAATTGTTTTCCTGGTTCTGCTCACTCCATTCTGTATCAGTTCCTACACATCTTCCTAGGTTTCTCTCAAACTATCCCCTTCATCATTTGTTACAGCACTATAATATCCCATCACATTTTATATACCATAACTTATTCAGCCATTCCCCAATTTATGGGTACCC